CTGCTCTGCGTTCAGCCGTGTGCCACCCCTCCCCCCCGTTCAACCCTGGGTAATCCCTCCCCTCTGCTGCTCTGCATCCAGCCCTGCTCTGCCCACTCCCTCTCTCCCCCCACCCCCGCTCTGCTGGAGCCATGCCCTGCCCCTCATTTTTGACAGGCATTCTTGATGCAGCACAGGTTGGAGTCGCACCCCCTAAGAGTGTTACGGACACACAGGCAGACGGACCTAAGCCCTTATAATTTTATGCAAGTTACTTTGTTGTGATCCCTTTTCCCCTCTTTTTGACCCAGTTCCTTCCTCCTTTCTTCATAGATGACCTTCTTTAAATATCCTTTCATTTCTCACTTGGACATTATCCAGTTTGTTAATGTCTAAGTTTGTAGTGGAAGTTCAATAGGGTACTCAATCGAAACCTCATCTCATCAACAGAGTAAACAGAAAATAATTAACCCTTGCATCTTACATACAATGTTTTTCTTAGTACATCACAGAATGAAATTTGTTGGGTTTTTTTGTTTGTTTTTTGCATCAGTAGCCATCACATGACTCGTTTTCAGTTTTGTAATCCACTATAACCCCCCAGATTCTTCTCTGAAATACTGCAGCTTTAGCCACTTACTTCCACATTGTTTATGTGCTTTTGATTTCTCCTTGCTCGGTATAGCACTTTGCACTTGTCTTTGTTGAATTTCAGCTTGTTGATTTTTGGACTGCTTGCTCACTTTATCCAAATTTGTTTTAAATTCTGATCTTATTCTGCAATCTTATTCTGCAAAATGTTTGCAACCCTACCCAGCTTGATGGTATTCATGAGTATGAGCATAATATCTGTTCTTTAACCAAGCACCTACTAAAAATATTGAATAATATTTATAATAATAGATATATTAATAATAATTATATAATAATATATTTATTATAATATAATAATATTGATCCAGGAGATCCTTATGAAATGCCACTTGACATATCCTTCCAATTTCACTTATTCATAGCTACTCTTTGAATAATTTTTTTTCAGCTAGATATACATCTACTTACAGAGATTTCGTCTAGAACAGTGGTGCTCAACCTTTTGACCCTACAGGCCAGATGAGTGGCAAGGGGCCAGTCCATGGGTTGGATCAGGCTCAGGGAC